TCCGACTCTGTGAGGGAGGTATGCTAGCGAGGGAGGCCCTACATGATGGCTGAAAGGTGGGTAGGCTACATACCACATACGACCATACCCATTGGAAAACTCGGGATCCCGTCCGCTCTCCCATAGGTAAGCCAACGAGGGCCGGATTAGTAGTTGAGTCGGTGACGATCAGCGAATACCTGGTGTTGTATGTTTTTGGATTTTTAGTTCCCACCGCGTAAGTTTACCTAAGTTTCTTTTTTTGTAATTGCTTGATTTTTAATAATACCTTAGCAGCGCTCTACCTATGACTCATTACGGCTACGAAATACTCACAGCCTGCGCTTGAGCTGCTGGGCAATGAACGACTTGGCCTGTGGCACCCACAGCGCGTTGAAGAACTCAGCAACGGCGGATATACTCCTGAACACGGCCTCGCCAAGCTGCACGGATCAGAGACCGCCCTTGCGGTTCGCTCTCCGTAGTAATACCGGAGCTCCGAGACGTGGAGGAGCACGGGCCTGCCGGCCTTGCCGGCCCGGGGCCACTGGCTGATGTGGATTGCCGCCCCACCTGTCCCGGACGACCGGAGGTTCAGCAGCGCCGGGTCGATGTGCGGCCACGCCCCGTTGCGAAGGCTGTCGGTTGTATCGAGAGGCCGTAGAACCATTTTTGGAAGATGGAGCTCGTTTCTCGTGAATATATACCCTCCGAGTCGGTCCATCACGGCCACGGCCTCCGAATGCGCGAGATTGAGTCATCCCTCCCCTCCCTGGGTGAAGCTGCGCTCCATCTCGCCCAGCGCCAGCTCGAATATGCGCGAGTACGCGCATTTGATCTTTGGAAGAACTTTTGTAGACATCAAGTGGAAGATGTAGAGATTTAAGAGCAAGACAATTCCTCACATTGTAAATATCAATAGTACGTCGACACTTTGATACAGTACCCCAACCGGTACATTACGTTTCTGCCCGTATTCGAAGCATAGCCCCGAATCCATTGTATTTGTAGATGGATTCCACGCCAGTTCCAATGATATTCTGCTGACCACCGATAATGATGCTGCGGGGTATTAAGGCAATGGCCGCCTTGTCGACAGGCCCAGCGAATAGTTTGCCAGTAGTGGGGCAATGCCCTGCCGTGCACCTCGTCTGTCTCGAGTCGCCTACGGCGTCAGAATCGTTACTTCATGGCAATTCGGTCGACGTCCACTAGCAACGACGTTGTTAATTCACTCCTCTTATATTTAGATACTTCCTCAACAGACTCCGATCTTTATCACTTCTGTCTCCAATGGCATACCGCGATTCTCTCGACTCGGACCACCTCCGACTACTCCGACCAGTCTCATTATCTCACGGCAACCTTCACTTTTCAGTCATCACTGTGCGTCGCGCAGCGGTAAACTACTATAAGTACACAGCCGTATCATACACCTGGGGGGACGGCAGCCCTTCCGAGATAATCTTCCTAGATGGTCAACCCTTCCCAGTCAGACCAAATCTATGGTCTTGTCTGTATTACTTGGGCCTTGCTTCACGGCATGCCGAGTGGGAGTACCTCTGGGTTGACGCGATTTGCGTCAACCAAGACAACGATGCACAGCGTAACTCACAAGTCCGCTGCATGGATCAGACATACAGGAGTGCTACCTGCGTCTCTATTTGGCTCGGTTTGATACCTCTACCAGAGGGACTACCCCGAAATACTCTCGCTTCTATCAAGACGCTAGAAAGCAATGGATTCGACTGGCAAGAATCCATGCTCGAGCTCGCGAGTCGCCCGTACTGGACTCGCTTCTGGGTTATTCAGGAATGCCTGCTCGGTTTAGAAGTCGAGCTCTATTGCAGCGATAACCGAATAAGATGGGTCGACTTCCAGCATATCCTATGCACAGAGACAGATGTTCACGAGTTTCCCCAATCGGACAACCTCGATCCTGGAGGGAGTAAGGCAGGGTCATATCCTGCCTTGCCACTCGTTATGAGCCGTACGATTGATCGGTATCCGGAACTAATGCAACCGCTATACGACCTCCTTGTCGCCCACCACCGTGCCAAATGCAAGGAAATCAGAGATAGGGTTTTCGCCTTGCTCGGACTTGTGAAGCCCGAGGAGCGACGTATGCTTGAACGATTCTTTCCCGATTAAGCCATGGCTGAAGAACACGTACTCATCATAACACTCGCGCACCTAACGCAATATACCTTCGAGCTAGCCTACAGGGACCGCCAGCTGATAACGCCTGATTCTGAAGAAACTTTCCTTGGACTTGGGGTTAAGTCGAAGACACGGAGGAGGGCCTTAATACGTCGGGCGAAATGGCTAGATTATTGTGATTGGGATGCACAATTGCCGCAACTACTCGCCCTCCAAGACCAAGAAGAGCAAGACTTGGGCAGTGCGTACTCGGAGGAGGCTGAAGAAGAAACTGAAGTACTTGAACGTGCCAGCTTAAGGCCAGGCGGTGCACAAGTTCTGATTTTTTTGTTTTTCGCTCTAGCTGTTCGGGTGGTCTGGTTGTGCTTCGCCTCTAACAAGCGGATGGCTTTTAAACTTATTGTGTATAGGTAACTTTGGCACCAACCTTGAAAACTGTGTTAGGCGATAGTGTGGTGGCCGGCAATCAGGGCATATTGGTTTGATAAGATGTTCGATCATATCAGGTTCTTGAATTTCAACGCCTACGTTCTTCATTCCATAGTCCCTTCTCAGTTGTCGCTTCGTAACGCCAACGTCGACTCCATTCCTCACGTCCGTTAGGTCGACCTCGTGGCTGTGGGGGTCCATCAAGACCGATCACCAGTTCATGAGAGTTTCGTTCTCGCCAACGTGATACTTCTGCACCCGCTCCACATGCCCTAGACGTCGTGGACTGGCGTAATATGGTCTGATCTTTTGTATCCTTGACTGGGCTTGCTGTTGGGCTTGAAGCTGCTGATTAATCGTCACAGGGTCTTTGAACAGTTTTGCAATCTCAAGGTCGTCAATTCTCTTCGCCGTTGAAGATTCAAGGTCTTTCAGGGTTCTCTCTGTTGTCTGCATTGTCTGTTGCCCTGGTTGGATAACAAGTTTGATGGCTGTTTGTGGACGCGTGCCAGTATTTGGAACCCAGTAGTCTTGCTCGTCGGATCCGAAGAGGACGTGACGACAGGTCATCAGACAGGTGACAAATTGATCTTGTCCCCTGGGTCTGACACGGAGGTAGAGACATTTTGTCCCTTCTTTGAGCGCTTTGTGAACAGTGGCGATAGCGTTGCCAAGCCCATCGCTGATCGAGTAGCCAAAGTCCTGAACCTCAGTAGGCCACGTTTCGTCCAGACTATACAGGTGAATGATTTGATTTGCCGAAAGCCCGTTTTCTTGAGCCGTAGTCGCTTCCGCGGATACGGAGACTGACGCAGAAGGCGTTGAAGACTCCTCGGGGTTGGTTGATAGCAGTCTTGTCAGGCTGGATTCTTTCATCTCGACATGAACATCGCTGATCCCCAAGCTTTCCAACACAGCCTTGCATTCAAAGGCAGCATCGTATGCTAATTCCCAACTTATATCGGCGTAAAGGGGGTCCATGGAAATCGACATGACAACAGGAAGGTCATCTGCATCCTCAAAACCAAGCCTGATAATATCAATGGCGTTCCATTTTCTAATATGTTTATCCAGCACATTCGAAATGGTCTGACTCAGTGGATACAGGCCCTCCGGGTCATTCCAGGGTGCAAGAATCGGATGCGCGCCTACTGTCCTCAAAATTTTGCGTCTTATGCCCCAACCGTTGGAAAGCTATTCAGGGGTCCATATATCGGAGCTTGTTCGTGCTATCAACCGTGGGCTGGAAGGCCGTAGTAATATTGGTTCGCTTCGTCAACCGAGGGAGGACGAGGTCGGTCCATATCTGCCTAAGATAAGGATCGCTGGTGTTGTGCTGCGGAACGAGGACGTTGCGAGGAGAAATTTGCTGTCTGTTGCTTAAGATCTGCTGCCGATAGGCTTTTTACATGACGTCTCCATCGGACCTTGCTGGCTGGGTCGAGTGTGGTGATGGCCTTGTGGGTGTGGCGTCCATGCTGGACCTTGTTGGCCGCGTCCACAATGGTGACGGGCGGGTGGAAGGACTTTGGCATTATGGGGTGGAAGGTGTGATTCCTGGTTGCTGAAAGGACGGCATTAAGGATCTTGGTTTAGTTGTGGATGATTGCGATGATGCTGGTCTTAGAGCCGAAGTGAGATGTGAAAGGTTGAAGAAGATAAATGGAGGGGATTGTGCAGGAATACTGGGCAGCCATTTCTCAGAGAAGGTGGTTTGACGTCATGACGTCACACGAGAGCATGGCAGCCATCAAGGTAGAAACTGCTGATATGGCGGGCAAGTAGAGCCCGGCCTCATGGGAGGCAGCTACTGTAGTCGGTAGATGAGGCAGCTGCAATCAGAGGTTCAATAAAGGCAGGTATAATCAGAAGCCACGAGGCATGAGGCGTACACCGGCTCGGCGCCATTTGACTCTGCCCTCCAGGACGACGACGACGATATGGACGCCTCGACCAACACAGACAACCCATCCCTGTCTTGCTTCCATTTACATACCAACAGCCTCTCACTGATTTTCTCTTCAACGGCACCGCCAAAGCCATCTCGGTGGCTGACTGAAAAACCTTTCTCTTGCATCAACCCTTCTGGCACACTCTTCAGGTCGCCTTATAAATAATTGGACCTCTTTCCAGAAATCCAGAGAATTCTCCTTCATTCTTTCCGACACAATCTAATCTGAATAGATATTTTCACCCCCAACTTTTGCACTCCCATTATAACAACCCGGAACTACCTAGACTAGCGACCCGAGATGAGCAACCGCCAAACCAAGCTTGCTGAAGCCTCCTCTATAATAGGCTACAGTTTCCACCAATCTGATTGGCTCTGGGAGGCCCTGCAGGCTGCAGGCTCAGGGGTTCCAACAGTTGGGTCTCGGGCCGTTCAGGAGGGGAATAAACCATTGGCCGGGCTCGGCGATAGGATCCTCGCAATGGCCATCGTTGACATCGCCGTTGATCAGAACATCAGTATCGGTAGGTTTCAGTACCTTCCCGATTGACTTTTTGCAACACTGAGTTGAAAAGTTTGCTGAGCCTCAAGCTAACTGGTGATGTAGGTAAAACAAACGCCCGGATCCAAATGCATGCCAGCAACGCACGACTGGCATTTCTCTGCGATGACATTGGCCTGACAGGATGCATCGAGCGCAACGTATCCCAGCAGGGAATGGTGCCTCAGAGTATCAAATCGACTACTGTAGAGGCTGTCCTCGGCGCCGCCTTTAAGGATGGCGGCATGGAGGCCGCACACCAGGTGATGCAACACCTTAGGCTTATCTAAGGGGACGCGGTTAGCTCATATCGACCTGTTCATATACGTAATCATTTTCCCTTGACAAAAACACATATGCTTCTAAATGGGTTTTATCGGGATCGCATGTTTAGTTAACTAAAAGATTATAGCGTTTTCAATTCCCAACCAGAGGGGCTCCCTGAATTTCTGCCAGGGGAAATAGAATGCCTCATATGAGCGTTCCCTGCCGCTACAACGTCCTTTCTCTCTCTGTCTCGCCGACTATTGGAGGAATATTAAGGCGACCTGAGGCTTTGTCTGAGTATTGACGTCTGTTGGATCGGAGGCTGCGAGATACGCGTGGGTGTTGTAGGGAATCTCCATATGGGACATCGATGTCCTTTGGCAAGGAGTTTGGGAGATCCTGTGTGTCACGGTCTATGGACCGGTGTTCGGCCTTCGGCAAGACCCTCAGCCACGACTCATTGGACCCACCAAATCCAATGGCGTATTTGCTAGAAGGTTCCAGGAATATCGACAAGGTCAATGGCAAGGTTATAAGAATGCC